GAAAGACAGTGAAAAAAATAGCATAAGCAACCTAACGAGCTTTTGTAAATGGTTGGCAGAACTGAATTTACTAAGGGCTACAAAGGGCAGGAAGTTTTGGAGAGCCTTCAAAGGACACGCCACATAGAAGATGATCGGGACACTAGAGTATAATGAATGATATCATGTCTTCCTACATATTCCAATTTATCCAGTCAGCAGCCGAAATCCATCAAAATGATTAAAGTGGCTTTACTCATCTGATTTAGGGTCAGAGTTTAAGTGTAATTTTCTAACATCGTTCCTGTTATACTGAATAAAAAACAATTATCTAAAAGATTTTTTTGAAACAATTTATTATCTGTTCGGCCTTCCTGCTAAAGTTTTATTGCGTTTTATGGCGGCTTCATTTTATTATAGGTTCTGCCAATAGGACCTGCGTTAGACCGGAACATGAACACTGGCAAGTCGCCCAGAGAAATTCTGTTGCCAACAGTGGAAATGTTAAATAATAAACGGAACTGAGGACAGATAACCAAATCTACATCATTTCCACAACTGAACTGGGAAAACATACACACATACTCGTAAACGCACACGCGCACAGACACACCCATACAAACCCACATATATCCAATCGCATAAATACAAGCTCATATATCAATGTACACATACACACATATAGAAACATATGCACACATACATACACACATATACAGATACACACAAACATACATACGCTAACACATACATCACACCCAAAAGTTTAGATGCATAATATCATAGCTTAAAATGTGTTATATTTACAAGAATAAAAGCGCTCACTATCAGATATGGAGCATTTCTAGATATGGACTCTGTGGTATGAAAATCACTTGAGCTATAACTGACAGTAACCATGCAGTGTTGATTCTATGTCGACAAATTTTATGTGCGTGTTTGTGTGTATGTGTGTTTATGTTTGTATGTTTGTGTTTATGCGTTATCGTTGTAGACCTGAGTGTGGCGTAGAAGTCGACAGTGTCAATGATGTCTTTTTCTGCTGTTGATTCCATTGTAAAGAGGGTTTTACAGGATGTAGTTGCTTACGCCGCAAACAAACAGTCATTATTTCAGAGGTTACATTCTCAGATTGGTTGCCAAGCAAAGATAGAGAGTTAGTCTACCCTTTCATTAACGACTAACTGGGCTTGGTGAAGAGGTCAGTTAATATAATTCAAAAATGTATGTGTGCTTTAGCGAATTCAACGACTTCCATTAAAATTTGATAACATTCTGCTCTGCTCAGACACACATATATATATATATATATATATATATATATATATATATATATATTGATGCATGTTTCATTAAATAATATAGACAAGTTTTGTCTATTTATTTTATATAAATTCTTTTCATATCGTCTGATAAGCTTAATAATATTAACATTAAATATAAAAGAAAATCACCATATTGACCCCCCCATAGAGGAGAAGATGACAAAAGACTGTGTGCACGCTATCCCGTGAAGCTGCGGAAAGAAATATATAGGCGAGACAGGCCGCCTCCTTAAGTTAAAGCTTCAAGAACAAAATGTACCAGTCATACATGGAAATAAATTTAACCACAATTTTGATTTTATAAAAGTTTATGCTCATAAAAAAAAAAATAATTCACTCAGAAGGGAACTCCTCGAGAGTGCCCTCATTGAATATTATCCAAATATTAATCTACAATAATTAATCTACGCCCAGGTTTTCTTCCCAATATTACCTTTCTTAAGACAATAACTACTCTCCCAAATCAACGTATACAACAAATATCTCAAGAAATCAAAACACACACATATATATATATATATATATATATATATATATATATATATATATATATATATATATTTGTTGGATGTTACCTCTATCTCTGATATTGAGCGCTTTCTAATAAGTACCGCGCATATAATATATAAATGATTATACATATATATATTTATTTATATTTATATACATATTTCATATATATATATATATATATATATATATATATATATATATATATATATATTGCCAACATCTAGAATGATATATATGTGTATGTGTCACAATTTGTCCGACACAGAAAAATTCTAAAAAACTAAAAAACACAACTCGCACGTGAAATAACGAATAAATAGTCCTTGCTTGCAATGTTCCTTAGAGTCACATGAACAGGCCGGGTGACATTTTTTTTTATCTTGGTTATATGGGTGCATGGTATTTTCTCCTTGTCTTAAACCCCAGATGACTAATATTTTTTTCTTCCTCGCATACTAATCAACAACTCACTACCGCTAACCCAATCTGTCGTTGCGTCAATGCTCCCAGAGGACGTTAGCAAACTCTTTCTGTGTAAAGAGGTATGAGCCCATCTCCCACATCTCTTTAAATGTTTTACTTAATCAGCCATGAACTTTAAATGATTTCCTTTGAGATCTGTTACAATGATATTAAACACAGATACTGTAAGTGATGAGGTAAATCTTTTCCAGAGCAGACAGTTCACAAGAGCATCAGAAGAGTGAGATCTGTAATATTCGGAGGTCAGCCCAAAGAAGTGAAGTCTTCATGCTCTCGACTTCCTTTCAATACAATTCATGCAGTGTGAGTGCGACACTTTGTCATGGAAACGACCCTCCCATCATCTTAGAAAACCGTGGCGATGTACAAGTGTAAATAGTTTTCAATGATTGGTAGCACCTGAGTACCATCATATAAATTAAAGGGCCGAATGCTTCCGCTCAAAAGATTGCCCAAATTATCCCGGTCTCATAACAGTGTTGTTTTTCTCCCACTGCGCATCCTGGCGCTATAGCACCCTTACGGCACCAAAGCATTCTAACGTGCAGGTCTAATTAATTCCGGAATAATAGTGACCCATCGGACTAAGCGATTTTTCTATTGATACAAGATCTATATTCATCTAACTCCCTATATTATATGCCATCATCGTAGAAAATAGAGCTGTAATAGCCTTAGCCATATGTTAAAAAATAATGGAAACTTTAATAAAAAGAAAAGAAAAAGCCAATATTCATTAACATCAAATACAAACATGGCCACAATGTGCTGACCGTGTTTGAAAAGAAATAAATATTCCATCACTCTGCATATATATATATATATATATATATATATATATATATATATATATATATATAAAATGATAGAATAGCAGACACCTCACTGATATATGGAACATTGGGACAGTTTTACGCCCTTTTGTATAGAAAACACTTATACTCATATTAGGTTGGTGCAAAAATAATGTCGTTTTTTGACGTTCAACTTCAAAAGATCATAACTCCTTTCATAATAAACTTCATTAATCGAAATAAGAAACATTAGAATCGACACATTTTTTGCCAACAAGTTTATTTATCCCATTAGCATAGAAATCTGGAGTTCTGGAAGCGATGAAGTCATTGAAGGCCGATTCGGCATCATCTCGGCTTTTGAAGTTGTCGAGATGCTTGAAAAAGGGATAATCGGTGGGCGAGAGGTCCGATGAATATGGCGGATGAGGCAGAGTCTCGTAGCCCAATTCGTTCAGCTTCTGCGGGGTCAGTTGAGCAACATGCGGGCGAGCGTTGTCATGGAGGAGAATTGGTCCCTTCATATTGACCAATCTCGGGCACATACGTTGGAGCTTCTGGTGCATTTCGTCAATTTGTCGGCAGTACTTCTCCGCCGTAATTGTTTTGCCCGGATTCAAGAAGTTGTGATGGATGAGACCGGCCGCAGACCACCAAACAGTCACCATAACCTTTTTTGTGCAATTTCGGCTTCGGGAAGTGTTGTGGAGCTTCTCCGGCATCCAACCACTGTGCTGAACGTCGCCGGTTGTCGTAGAGGATCCACTTCTCATCGCACGTCACAATCCGCTCGAGAAATGGGTCGTTTTTGTTGCGCAGAAGGAGCGTAGAAGACACCTCAAAACGACGATTTTTCTTATTATCGTTCAATTCATGTGGCACCCATTTATCCAACTTTTTTGACTTCCCTATTTGCTTTAAATGGCAAACAACTGTTGAGTGGTTGATCTCGAGTTCAACAGCAACTTCTCGTGTGGTTTTGCGATGATCGGCTTCAATTAAGGCTTTCAAATGTACGTTATCAACCGCAGTCGGCCGGCCGCGATCGTCTTCATCTTCGAGGCTCTCGTCACCATTGCGAAATTTCTTGAACCACCGTTGTGCCACACGTTCGTTAGTGGTTCCTGGGCCCAACGCATCATTGATATCAGGAGCTGTCTCGGCAGATTTTCGGCCTAGTTTGAACTGGAACAAAAAAATCGTGCGGATTTGAATTTTGTCTATGCTGTCGAAAAGCCTGCAAATAAATGAATGAAGAGATTGAAAACGGTAACGAATAACAGGATTCGATAGAACGAAAAACGCGCTTCAAAATGATTTATAACATGCCTATATATATATCAATGAATTAATTCAGAAATCATATATAAAAGTAAAATATGTGAGAAAACGACATTATTTTTGCACCAACCTAATATAAAAAAAATTAATACAAAAGGTATCTTCTAAATCATCCTTAATTAAACTTATACACACACACACACACACACATATATATATATATATATATATATATATATATATATATATATATATATATATATATATATATATATATATATATATATATATATATTGATCGAGGAAGAGATAATAAAATATCCAAACTTTGGACAGTTTTGTCTTCATTTTTGCCGATACTGAAGCCACTCTCCGAGACTTAGAACTGATTATGTTTAACAATATATTTCGAACTATTATCTGCTGCCCCAATGCGCTAAAGATACACACACACACACACACGCACACACACACACACACACACACACATATATATATATATATATATATATATATATATATATATATATATATATATATACACACACACAAGAAAACAGTGGACCGAAAGATTACACAAAATTTCGTCTACGAAACTCGGGAGTCGGAAGATAAGAAAAAATATTTATATTAATCCTATAAATATAGATAGATAGATAGAGAGATAGAGAGAGACAAAGAGAGAGAGAAATAGAGAGAGAGAAAGAGAACTGGAGGGAGAGATAGTGAAAGAGAGAGAGAAGAAGAAGAGAGAGAAATTGAGAAAGGTCGGACGAATAGAAAGATACTTCCGTTATACAAATTCAGTTAAAAACTAAGGATATTCTTTGTTAGGAACCATTTTCTTGGCTTCCAGTTAAAATCCTGATATAAATAATCGGTTACTAGAATTTTTCCGCTTGTATTTTATCCAAATTTTCGCTTCGAAGTAGAAATATATTCTTAAATAATAAATGAAGCCAGATTTGAAATTAACTTTCATTGGGTTTTAATTTAGCAGTAAATTATGTGCTGTCAAATTATATCAAATTTCATAAAAATGAGACAATTTTTTTATATAATGACCATTGAAATGTTATTATCAGAAACAGAACAGAGTTTTTTTTTTGTTTTAAAATGTCTCTCTTACACACGGTTATGAATTGAAATATTCAATGGTTATGTTTTATATATATATATATAATATATATATAAAACATATATATGCATATATATATATATATGTAGATATGAAAAACGCAGTTGAGAACGTCGGTTATGTGGAAACTTGATTCTCATAAATTTGTTTCCTGTTTTTTTGCGAAGACATTTTTAAGCAAAGAATTATTTAAAAAAATGATATCATAATATTTTTGCCATGATCGCGGCGCAGATAATGAGTTTTGACATTACAACTATTTATTTTGGCACTTGTAACCATTGTTTATTTATTTGAAAACTATGATTTCACTGGTTTTTGCCACAAGCTAAACAATTATCTTCACTGAAAGAAAGACAAAAATGTAAAGAAAAATGTCAATAAGAAAAAAAATAAGAAAAAAATAGCATAACGTATAAACAAGGAAATTATGACAAAACGACTCGATCTCTGTTGTAAATAAATATATTCAGTTGCCAAAATGGATTTTTTTTTTAATATTTGTGATGATATTTCTTCAATGTAAAGCAAAAAGAGAAGTGTTGTGAATTTGAGCTTTTTCTTATCAATCTCTTTTTTTTATCATTTCTCTCTTTCTTTCTATTTTTTTCTTTCGTTTTTTTCTTTCTTCGCAATGCTTCAACTTTCAGATCAAAAGCAATTACGTATCATTTCGAGCTAAACCCGAATCCAATAATAAACTCTGTAGAAATATAACTTACAATAGTTAAACCTAAAATGCTTACGTATCAAAAATACGAAACGCTTAGAAATAGTTGCATCATATACTGAACTGCTATGTAAAATCCTCCATTTCTCCAATACAGTCTTTCTTAAACGATGCACTCAGTAGCACTAATACTTGCTAAAAACTAACCTAATGCACCCCATATTAACAGACGAGTAATTTATGAATTATTTTTATATCATAAAAATCTTTTTTTTAAAAAAGCTAGAGACACAATGGCTTGGACATTTGACATTATAAATGGATGTTAAATTACTTAAACTTTAACATTATGTGAACATTGTTCGAAAATAATGGTCCGAAAACAATTATTCGAAAACATTTCTTCGAATTGTAAATTGTTGAATGAAAATTAATCGAAAGGAGAATTATACTAAATGATAATTATTCGAAATGCAAAATTCTTTGCATTATTTACATTATTCGGACTATTAGCCTCATCTGTTGCCATATTTTTACAACGTTTCGGACGTTGTAAGCTCCGGCCTTCTTCAGGTGTTTGAAATGTCGAACTGAACCCTTTATTTCGCTCACTGGGATAGACTGTTCTAGTTCCACGTGTTTTAATGGATGTCAGTTATCAGTTATCACCTGTTAATTCCCCTCTGAAAGTTCTCCACTGTCCCGCTTTTGAAGGTTGTGCTGATGTTATATGGACCGCAGATTCTTTGTATTTTCTCTGATAACCCCTTTAAATAAAGTAGGCAGACTGTTTTCTGTGTGTTGTTGTCCTCCTCTTGTACCCGCCTATACCAGTTTATTGCTATAAAAATATAAAAATTAAAAGAGGAAATACACAAATGATAATTAATCGAAATACAAATATCGTTAATAAAATTTAGTAAGAAAAATTCATAAAACTTTATGTCATATGATACTAAACGCAAATAGTCATCTACTGAAGATTACTCTTTAAATGATGCCACTAATTTTTAAGTTTACTATTTACGACGCGGTATTTCTTGGTGCTCTTGATATTTTGGTAACCTACTCTTACTTTTGCAGCATGAATTACTTCCAAGTCCTGTTCGCTTTTAAGAACATCTACGAATTTCCATACTGTAGGATAATGGGATGTCACTTGCTGCAAAATGCCTTATACCATCCTTCAATGGCGTTATTAGTTCTAGGTAAATCAACATTGATTCTCTCAAAGCAAGACCACATACGTATTTCAAACATAGGTATTTCGAATAATTATCATTTAGTATAATTGTCCATTTAATTTATTTTCATTCATACGATTTAAAATTATCTGTCTATATCTCTGAGATGGGGTATTATGATTATTTATATTATTTACATTATTCGGACTGTTATCCTCATTTTCAGTGACATATTTTGAACCGTACCCCTCATTTCGTTCACCGCTGCAGATTGTTCTAGTCCCGCGTGGCATGTCGGATGTGTCAGCTATTTCTCCTTAACTCAACTAACCAAGTATTTTGGTTCAACACGGCTGTAGCCTCGTAGTGAACTCGCAACTGTTTAGGTCTAACAAAGTCCTCTATCCACTGGGTCGTGTGTCCTTGGGGACATCTGTGTATAAATTTCTGTGACGAATAAACGTAATGTCTCAGCAACCGTGTTTTTTTTGTTTGTTTTTTTACCAGTGCTCATATTACAATTTTTCCGTTATCATTATTACATAAATAAAGGGTTCAGTTCGAAATTCCAATCGGCTGAAGAAGACCGGAGCGTTGTGAATATGTCAATGAAGGTGAAGATAGCAGTCCGAATAATGCAGATAGATTTACAATTAATTTACAATAAATGCTTTTGAATAATTTTCTCGATACGATCTTTAACCCTTTCAGCCCTGCGTCCCGGAAAAATTTTAACCCTTCTGCTTGAGATCGAGGTGGTGTAATGGTTAGCAAGCTTGTCTCGCTAGAACTATTACGACTGAGTAGTGAGTTCGATCCTCACTGGGTGCCCCCTACTTTCGGACTTGTGCCACATCTAAGCTATGCTTGGTAAATCACTATAAAAAAAATAGTTTAAAGTGTTTACCCACCATTCAACCGGTGGCTGGGTATTACGTCATTTTTCTCTACCACCGGTAAAGCGGTGGCCAGGGCTCAAAAAGTTAAGGTGTTATAAACCTTTACATATTAGCTCCATAAAAACATAGCAGTTTCTTCATAAATCCATTTAAATGAAAACTGTACATTCTGTGATATTCTTTGGGAATGTTAAACCAAATTTTCTTATTTCCATATTTCATGACTAATTTTTTCCTTACTAAAATTTAAATTGCGCCCGAGAATTTTAGTTATTCTACAAGTGCGCCCTGCAGTAAAAAAAAAAACGGTTAAGAAATACTATTCTAAGATATTTTCCTTTTACCTTTTCTATTAATATTTTCATAGCAATTATCTTTGGTACCTCAAATTTACAAATTTTATTGTAGTACAGAATCGTCAGTTTGATCTCATCATCTTACAACTGAAATGTCTAGATGTAACCGTAACTTCTATCCTAACGTATTCTTCTTTCGCACTTCTCACTTGTGGATATCTCTTCCGACTACTTGCTTTCGAGTCCACATTGACTTAAAAATGTAAATGTATGTCAATCGTTATATTTTGTCTATTTCCTGTTCATTTTTAATTCTCCTTAATAATGCGTTTCCTTTACGTACATTCTTTAACATGAGTGCAGCAAATATGAAAATGTTTAGTTTCTATCAAGAAGTTAACCAAAACAACTTTAAAGGTCCCTCTTGATTCTTATTTATTTAAAGTTAAAATTATCACATGAAGCGCTTATGTTTTGGGATTTTTTTAAATAATCAAAAAAAGCATATCCAATAAAATATTAAAACTGCTTAAAAATAATCGGTACAAAATCGTTTAAATATAATGCATTCAAAACGAAAGAGAAATATGTAAGCATTCATAGAGGCTATGTGTCATGCAAACAGGATGGAGAAGGTTCAGCTGGACGTACGATACGACAAATATGATTTGGTTTGGTTTATTTTGTTTTACTGCATATCAACCTCAATGGGTCATTTAATGTCGACAACTTTTTTTTCCTGGTAATATTTTTGGTTTGTCAAAAATCTATTTCTGGAAATATTTTTTTCCTCAAAATTGTATAGCTGGTAATAGTTTTTTTTTTTTTTTTCAAAAACGTATTGCTGGTAATATTTATTTTTCAAAAACGTATTGCTGGTAATATTTATTTTTCAAAAACATAATGCTGGTAATATTTGTTTTTCTAAAACGTATTGCTGGTAATATTTATTTTTCAGAAACGTATTGCTGGTAATATTTATTTTTCAGATACGTATTACTGGTAATAGTTTTTTACTATGTAAAACTTTATTTTTTTTAATCAAAATTTTTTTTTGTTTGTTTTTTTTTTCTAAAACGTAATGATGGTAATATTTTTTTTTCTTCAAAAATTTATTTCTGGTAATAATTTTTTACAAAGTATTTCTGGTATTAAAACCTATTTCTACACTTTTATAATTCTTTTTGCTTCAGATTCGGGGTTAACTATTTGCCCATAGCTGAGACTCTAACAGATGCTACCACACAGGGTCAGCGTAGACCTTGGAACACCAGCAATTAAGAGGTGTTTCCACGCTCCTCATAACCTCCTGATCAGAGGCCTTGCTGTTGTACGTAGTTCATCGTCTTACCCTGGACGTGGATGCAGTTTATCGTCATACCCAGGACTGGACAAATATATACAAAGAAAACAGATCTGAAAATCTAATTACTTGCGGAAGATCTTCCTAAAGATTCATTAATGTCCTAACGAGATTTCTGCCGACATATCTCGTAAGAAAGCAATAAAGACAAAAATGAAAACATAGTTTGAAAAAGATTGCAGTAATTGGATGGAAAATGCCCTATCGAAAATGAGTTACAAGCATTTATTAAACTTA